TTTTTTTTTTTTTTTTTTTTTTTTTTTTTTTTTTTTTTTTTTTTTTTTTTTTTTTTTCACCAAATTTGGTAAATTTCAAAACAAGATATAATAATGTATAGGAAACGAATTTCAATGGGAATGATACTTGGCAAAAAACTAGGTCGTCCATTCGTTGATAATGAAAACGACATTGCAAATAACAAGAAAAGGGTACTACGATAATTCACGTGCCACAACGTTTTGTAAATACTGCTTTTATTGGAGACCAAGTTGGTCAATGGCGAAAAAATTCAACGTAAAAGAAAAAAGCCCGCATTCGTGTACGCGTTATTAAAAAACGTCATTTTGTGTATAACTCAAAGCTTCCTCTGCTCTAATGCAAAACGTTCATTTTTCCAACAAAACCCTCGCCACTCCAATTAGGGCTGATTACCTTTCCCGGAGCTTTGTCGAAAGTTCTTTTGCGAACCCTCATCCATTCACAACCAGCCGTGAATGGCCCCTGCGTCAAAAGCTGCACACCCCTTTGCGCCTCCAACGCGTGAAAATCTCTCTCCCCTTTGAGCCCTGAAAACTCGGTTTGTATGGCAAAAAAAAATAAATAAATAAATAAATAATAACAATAGAAAAAATCGCACGAGATTCCGGGCGCTACATTAGGCATTCCCTTTTCCGGATGGGGGACCCGGAAAATGGTAAACATTACCCGGAGAACGACGGAGCAGAGAGGTAAGTAAATACACACCTTTATTAGAGAGAGAGAGAGAGAGAGAGCGCGAGGGCAAAGTACAAAAGGGAAACGTCGGATGGAGGACTGAGGGAGGGAGGGGAGAGGGTTAAGTGTCTATTATGCCGGAATTGTTTTTGTATACGAGAGAGAGAAAATTGTCCCGGGCGCGAGAAAACAGACGTACTCACTACATAGGTATACGTAAAGTTCAAAGAGATAGCAACAGACGGACAAACAGTTGTTACGCTACGTGTATACGTGACTGGGGGGTTGGTGTCAATATATACCACACTCCGGCGGCTGAGTTTGCCGCAGCGGTCGTGAATTATCGAGATCCGGGCTTGGCTTTGCTTGGCCTCGAGAGCGAGCGTGCGTATGTGTGTGTGTGCACGAGTGGCCTTTACCGATAAAGCAGAGGAGATACAGGTACGGGTGGACACGGCAAAGGTGGATACTTGGACCAACGCGGGGTGTACGCGTGTACGATGAAACGTTGAAAAAAATTGGCACAAGAGATATAGGATATTTAAAATTGGCATCAAAGGCTTTTGCAAGGCTTTACTTTGTCCTGATTAATATAGTAATTATCTTTGGCTTTGATTACTTAAATATCTAATTTTGATTTTATCACTTTCATCCTGTAAATATGTACAAATGTACAGTAAATGTTCGGTAAAAGTGATGGTTTTTATTTTCCATTTTTACTGATGGTTCGCTCAGAATTCATTTAGATTAAAATAATTCAAGAGTACAACTACTCAAAGAAAACCTCATCCAAAAATCCCAACAGCGTTCCCAAATCTGATATTTTTCGGAGATATTTTTATACGTACGCGCTAGTATGGAGTTTCATTGTCAATGGAGCTATAAAAAAATACCCTTTGAGTCCGTAATAGCACAAAATTGTTAGTTTTTATGGCAGATTGTAAACAGTTTTCACAAAGTTGACGTTGTAAATCGATACAATATTTATTCAAAATCATTTATACTAAATCATATAGGACATTGAAAAATTGAGATACGTTACTCAGGCATATTGTTATAGCGATGAAAAAAAAAGATATGAAGCATTTTATTTAATTACTAGGTATTCAGTGATTTCGAGTCATACCGAGGGGTACCGAACCTCTTGATATCTTCGTGACAGAATGAGTCTCAACGACTGAGCCAATCCAGGTGACAGTAAAAGGAGAAATTAGATAGAGTTGAAAAATATAATTTTTCATGTGAAAATGATAAATACAACAATCCTTGATAAAACCATTAAAATAAACAACCAATAAAAAAAAAACTATCTTTTCAGAGAATTTGATTAAAATCATATGCTGTACATTCATTCTAGAGGGTGTACCGCTTGTATACGATGAAATTATAATATTCCAGTCTTGTCAATGCACGCGAGCTCCCACTTAGTAAATTATACTTTAAGATTACTCATAGTTACGAAAAAAAACAAAATAAATTGGCTTGATTATTTTACGGATGAGTGAAAAATCGACAAGTAACACGCACATATCCGATGCATGACAATGTATCTTCGAAAGTATAAGCTTGTCGATACATCACGTACATACGGGGAATAACTTAGGAAAAGTATAGTACGAGAAGGTTCCGTGTTATTCGGTTGCCCTATTCACGTGATAATGGACTAGGGTATTACATACATCAAGATGGAAGAGATGAGGCGCAAAATTTCGCTACTGAGAGTCTAATAATAGAGTAGAGATAAGGAGCAGGAAATATGCCATTCTAGGGCGAAGCAGCGTACCTAATTAAGACTCGTCGAGATAAGCCCGATTAGATGGGTGGGGCTGCCGAGGGTACGTTGGATGTGTGCCAATGTGCCTATGGTCTTTATGGAACAAAGAACGCGGCGAGGCAATAAAGAAGCTTTTGCACGGCCGAAGGATAAAGTACTTTCGATTTTTTTTTTTTTTTTTGTTATTTTCTTTTTTTTTTCCGTGTACCAAGGACTTCATGTTGCAAGCACTATTTTCATAATGATGCGAACTTTAAATCCTTGAACGCGAAAGTACCTTTTTTAAAAAGTTACCATTTTTCTCTTATCACACTAAAACTTTGGAGAACAACCTAAATACCAAAAAAGGTCTTTTGTAACCCTCCCTGCGAATGGCAATGTACATTTTTTTTCCTCAAACCCATTTAAACACATACACCCATTTCGTCCTCTGCACCAACGTGTTTCCCGTCAGCTGGTGGCTTGCCAGAGTTTTATATTCTCTGCTACACGTACAAACCCACGGCTCATTGAATTCTTTCGCTTTCTTTGGCACAGTACGTTTCCAAAGACTATTTTTTCTCTGTACGCGTCACCTATTTTTCTTGCCTTCTACTTACGTAGATTGTACTTTTCTTTTTTTTTTTTTTGTGCGAGAGTATTATGATTATTTTTTTTATTTAAAATTGATAAAAAAATTTAGATATACTCCCTAGGTAATTGAAACGAGTGAGCATCAACCACATACACTTTCTCAATGAGATGGTATATAAAACAGATAAACTTTTTCTACGATCTCTTTGCGGTGATATTGCGACGAAAGCAGAAAACTCGACGTGCGATTCTCCCGGGATCTGCCGCTCGGACGTATTTTCTCAAACTTTGTCCATCAGACCTGAGTTGCACCCCGAGTATAAATTTTCCCCAAATCGAATTACGGATCAATTGTAAAAAAAAAAAAATATATATATATCTTCGATCCACCTTCTGACCCACATAATACTCGTCCGAGTGGAAGTTGTTTTCTCCTCTGGCAACTGTAGGCGCTTAGATATCCTTCCGCGATATCCCTAGCGCACAAAAAAGAAGGAAGATACAACAAAAGTAGAGAGCCACGGACCGAAAGGAACTGGAAATGGTTTTTGGCACGCGACAAGAGGCCCCTTTACGGCAGTGGACAATGTACGCGGTAACGAGATATCATCATCGTCATCTGGACCATGTTTCGGTACCAATAGGAGGACGCGAAGGACAATTTGGCCGAAAGGAGCGGACGTCGGGGCTTTCGTTGGAATTTTCGGAACATTTTTTCTCCTGTTCTTGGTTTTGCTTTGAATTTTCAACTCGGAAAATCCCCGGAAAAATCTTACTTTCATCGCATCACGGGCTCACGGAGTAATTGGGGAAACTAGGAAAGTTCCCCCTGCCCTAAAAAAAGTCAAGAAAATTAGTCGTCCATCCGTCCACGTCAGTACCACTTACCAGCACAGCCTTCGAACGGTGGAAAACCAAGATGTGGGGGGGTAGGGAGGCAGGATCGAAGGTAAATAGGAAAATTTCACCACCACCCACGCATTCGAAGACAAACACACGCTCGCGATCCTTCCATTTCAAA